TCAGAGTGCAGAGGGACAGAGGACTTGGGGCCTCTTGAACATACAGGTTAAGAGAAATAGCAATGCCCTGGGTTGAGACTCAGAGAGATATCAGGGCACATTTCTTCCCTCTAATAACCCTGGCTGCTTGGCCTCTGGGCTGCCAACACCTACCTAGAAGAGTTTCTCATAGCATTTCCCACAGTGGATGGTGGCACGGTGAATGAAGATATGATCCAGGAGCTCACCCATTGGTTTATTGCAAATCCCACACTGGCAGAGAAAGAAAGCCAGAGGTCAGCATTCAAGTGAAGCAACATAAAGTAGTGCGGTGGAGAGAAAGCACCTGACCAAGGTAGGCAGGCAGACACTGAACAGAAGGCACACCCTAGACTTTGAAGCAGACAATTGAAAAATGGCAGAAAACAGATACAAAACCAAACTAGGAATGAAACAGCAAAACAAAACCCCACAAAAACTAGCAAACAGGATGATCACATAGTGGGTAGTAGCCCTGGTTTCAGAACTAGGCCTGGCTTTGAGCTCTAAATCCACTAAGCAGATCCTCAAATAACATGGTTTTGTCATAATGCTGATGAGATGCCGTAGGAACTTAACTCTTGTTTCTGGTGGGAGAAGGTGTGTGTGTTTTTTAATTTTTCAATATTTTCATTGATTTCAGAGAGGGAGAGGGGGGGAGAGAGATATAGAAACATCAATGATGAGAATCATTGATTGTCTGCCTCTTGCACGCCCCCTTCTGAGGATAGAGCCCACAACCCAGGCATGTGCCCTTGATCAGAATCGAATCCAGGACCCTTCAGTCTCCAGGCCGACACTCTATCCACTGAGCCAAACCAGCTAGGGCTCTTCCCTTCAGTTTTAATGTTAAATTATTGGATTTATTTTTTCAAATGTCTTGTCTTTCTTCATTGAAATTTATTTTCTTGTACCTTAACACTGACGCCAGATTGTCTCATTCTTTCTTTTTTTATAAATCTCCAATTAGTTACTGTTAGTTTTGCCCATTAAAAATTAACATTTTTGTATATAGAAAACACACTAACGTTTTTCTCATGTATTTAGAGTAGGACAAAGAGAAGGCCTTTTAAAATATGGTTCCTCTCCAGAAATGCTCTGACCCCAGTTCTTAGAAGTTCAAATTAGGAAACCATTAGGAGTTATTTGAGTGGCTGGCTATCCAGTAGAGTACTTTAAAGTAATCTAGTCACCTTATAAAACTTAAATGTATTTATTTTTATCTTACCTAGTAGCCAGTTTAATCTGGATGGCCAGTGACTTTGCATCACCCACATTTCTCATGCTTTCCTGTATTCATCTCCATGAGAACTATGAAGTAACAGTTCTTAAATACGGAAACCTTCCGATCTTTGCCTGTTTTCTGATTGATTTTTCTTTTCTTGTTGACCTACATCTACTTTTAGTGAGATCAGGTATGCATATTAAGGAATTTCTACAGGCAATTAATGAGCCTGATGTTCTTTTACAATATTTCTTTCACCTTAAGAAGCAACATACTTGGAAAGTCAGTCGTTGCTAAACTAGTAGTAATTGCCTTTCATAGATCACTTTTTTCTCCAAATTACAGTTTATTGGCTAGGAAAACAGCACAAAAATCAAGCTTATTGAAATCCACAAACACTTTCAAAAGCATTTTACATTTATATTGCCTTAGTGCTGATAGTTTTTGAGTGATTGAATCACGGACTCACATTTCACCAGCTGTCATTCAGCTTCCATTTAAATATTTTCTGTGTAAGATAAAACTACAGTTCAGCCATCTTAATTAATACCTGTGCATTTAGGGTTCTCATAGATTAATTTCTGCTGTGGTGTAACAGCCTTACTTAGCAGTTAATCCTCATATCATCTAATAGGATGGCACCTGCAGATAGCCTAACTGTAGATGCAGGAACAAATTACAATTGAATCTTTTTTAAGCATTGGGAAATTTGTTACCTTTAAGAAACATATTTTAAAATGTTCAAAAATAGTTTACTGGAGATTCCAGTTCTGGTGTAGGTATTTGTTTTATGGATTAATTTAGCCATTTAAAATTATTTATGTGTTTAACAGTATGCCATTTATAATTACCCTTTACTTATAAGACATTTAAAAAATTAATAAGAAATATAAAATTAAATCTTCAGCTTTTAAATTCTTTTTACCAAGTACTCTGACTAAATTATTTGTTTTAGTCATATCTTTATTGTCATCACTTCTATTCTCTTTACTCTAGATAATCAGTATTAAGCTTCTAAATTTATTTACCTTCCCAGAAAAATTCTTTTAACACCTTTTAATACTTCTTCTGCCTTAGGAATTTCTCACATGTCAAAAATAGTGTATTTAAAGTTTTCTGATCAGGATATTTCCTTTCTCTTCTCTACCCTGTTATTAGAGTAGAGCATCATGTTTTTTTGTAAATCCCTGCTGTGTGTGATTGTGCATATAAAGATTTTTTTAATTTTGAGAATGGAATTTTATTAAGTAGTTTAAGGAAATTGACATAAGCAACAATCATACCTCTTTACATTAGGAACATAAATCACTGCCTATATAAGTGGCATAACATAGGCGTCATGTAAAAATATAACAGGGAGCATATCACAGGCTGCAGTTTCATCCTGGTGTTTGTAGAATGTGCTAAAGTTAGAGAGCTGAACAGTTCTCTTGTAAAATATGATAGTGTACTAGGGCCTCCTCCCTATTGGCCAATATTTCTTGGTACTTTTTTTTTAAGGCTATATATTTCATTTGGAATCAGCAAAGTTTTCTGTCATTAAGTTTTATTCCAACACATCATTCTTGGGTTATTGGTAATTTTCAATTTACTCTGAGAGAATATTTTTAGCTGCTAAAGCAATTATTTATCAATTAACATATGTATTAGGTATATTGTGATCTCTGATATGTAACATTTTAAAAATCAGCATATTTTTTCCTTTCATAAACATATTTTGTCCTACTGATTGCTCCCTGCCTTCTTCCTTCACACCATCTATTCACAGCTACAGTATATGCCCTTATATTTGTCACAGGAACTCACTAGTGGACAACACAGATGAGTAAATAAATAATGACAATACAAAGTAGCCACCAGCTGCCAAGAGTAAAGTTAACAGAATTTTCAGAAAAGAACATTTGAATTTGAAAATGGTAGGTCAGAAGGGATGGCAGTATAACTTTTCAGCAAGATGGATATAGAAGATTTCAAGAGACCATTGCTTTCTATGTAGCAAAGAAGAGAAAAGCACATAATTTTTAAAATTTGTATTATTTAAAAACCATTGAAGAACTATGTCACAAAGAAGTTTAAATGAATTAAGTTCAAGAGAAAGATGACCCTTTCCTAGACAAGAAGAAACTAGTGGCCACTGGTATCCCTGGGAACATTAACTGAGACTGGAGGCCTAGCAAGACAAAAGAGCAGACCTACTATGGTCCTCCGAGAAACCAGTTGAATGTTTAATAGCCACATGTGAGTTTACATGACAGATTGGAAGATGGGATCCTCTAATATGGAGCTTGTTCACCTCATGCCTAAATTTCATCAGGACTTTTACTGAGTAACAAGTGATTAAGAAAGTTGGGACTAAGCTAGAGAGAGAAAGAAAAATCTTAAGTCTTGCTGTGCTTAGGTGTCAGAGCCTTGCTAGAGGAAGAGACATATTTCCATCCTCAAGACATTAGAAACTGGAAGTAAACTGGAAGTAAATGAAGGGGCAACTCGGCTCCAACACAGATAAACTCCTGATTGTATTGAAGAGATCCGCTCTTTAGCTGCTTGACAGAGGAAATGAAGTGCCTTCTCTGGGGGAAAGTATTACCACCTTCATTACTTATTGTCCTTTTATGCACAGTGTCTGGGGAAAATAAAAATATTGAGAGACACAAAGATAGGAAAATGGAATCCATAATCAAGAGAAAAAATAGTTGATATAAGCAAACCCACAGATGACCCAGATATTTGAATTAGCAGATAAGAACTTTTAAAACAACTGTTATGCTGAAGAATTTGGAGGGAAAATGGTCCTAATTTCATTTTTTTTTAAAACAAGAGCTAATTAATAACCCAATATTTAAGCATTATAAATGTTTATACCTGTATTCAACTTTTAGTTAAATAAATGCATAATTTAAAAAAATATCCTGTTTTGAATATTTGTTGTTCAGAAGATGAGGGTAAATCAAACCAGGCAATTAGATATTTCAGATAAGAATTTTTAGTGGAATAATTAAGGTTATCATATATGCTGCGTAGCTACCTATATATTATACTTTAAATGTAGAATAAGCATCATCCCGAGGTGTTTTGAATACCAGCAGAATTCTTAAGATACTACATTCCGGTAAGCCCATGTTTCTTTGCAGTGGTAGAAATAAGATTATTTTTGCTTTTACCACATAGAAGAGAGCACACCTAGCAGGTCAGTCCTGTTACAATAGAAGAGTACAACATAGAATCAGAATAGCAAAGTTGATCTTCTTTGGGCCCAAGTTGGAGGAGGACTGGCCTTCAGTGATAGAAGGAGTTAATTACTGATTGTATATGGACTTAAAGATCTGAAGTTCCTTCCACATCTAAATATGCTCTTCATTTTTATCTGCCAACAGGTACAACTGTAACTGCTTTAAGATTGTTTAAGAACCTACCTGTAAGAAAGCAATTTTACTCAACTACTAAAAAATGTAAAGATGAAATAAAAAAGGTCCTAGATCTCCTCATAAGCTATGGAATACTTAAACCTGACTTAAGGATTCTTTTTATACATAACAAGGTATGCATTATTGTATTTCTATAAGATCTTTTTGGTATATGATATATTAAAGGAACAATGTATTTTATCTAAATCAAACATATAAAGAGTCTTCTTAAAATTTGTCCTCATTTGTTTAGTTTGATCAGTAAATAAAGAATCTTTATTTTGTTACTTAATATCTATATAAAATCTGATGGAACCTTTCATTTATTAATTTCTAAGATCAGAGATCCCACCTACAGACTCTTCCACGCAAGCAGTGTTTCTGTGCTTCCTAAATATGAAGATAAATAAAGACTTGTTCTTTTCCTTTAAGGAGTTCACAATTTAGTGACATTTTTCATCATCTATTCTTTTTTTAA